AGGCGAGCAGGAGCAGGCACTTCCAGGGAGGCAGAACGCCAAATACCAGAGGCGCAACTCTCCATCTGGTGCTGTGGGTGGTCCGGTCGCCTCCTCTTCATCTCCACGACAAGTTTGATGGTGCAGCCGAGAGCTCTCCACTGATGCCTTTGGCAGCTGCCTCTCCTCCCCCCGCTGCAGAGCGGTTTTCTTTTTCCGGCTGCGTGAAGTGGAACAAGCAGCGGGATGAGTCCTACCAGGCACCGGGAAAATCTGCTCTATCTGCTTCATCATTTTCCCTTTTCCTTTTCTAATTAGGAAAACACAAAGAGATGAAACGATCTCTGTTCTGCTGCTAGGAGCAACGAGCACATGATTACAGTAGTACGTTAACTGCCCTACTGGATTTTTTTTTCATTTCGCAGTATTGCTTTGGCACCCAAACTCGGTCTCTATCCATCTGCTTTTTCCTTCGGGGATACAGGCAAAAGCCATGACAAAGCAAACATCTCCCTGCACAGTTTACAATCACCAGAGCTGCCTTCCTCAAACTCCTGGCTCCAGCAGAAGCTGACGTAATGAATCAAGGGCTCATTCATGCCTTCACCTGGATGACTGGTTCATAAGGGAATCGTCTTCGTCAGGACCTGTCGATATTGCCCGAAGTGAAACCTTGTTGGTTTTTCCAGGTTTTTAACACCTGACAGCATCTCAAATATATGTTGCAACGAACTGGGTGTTGCATAAAACCATTCAGGGCTGAGCTAAGGGCTCATGCAGCAGCCACAGCACAACAGCGTGATGCCAGCAGTAGGGACAGCTCCCCAGGAAGTAAAAATCCATAGGCAATGCCTGCAGTACGCTTATTTTATGGTTGTTTTTTTTTAATAGAAACATTTAAATTATTTTCGCGGACTTTTGCATATCCACTAGATTCTTATAAATGTCACAGTGGGAGAGAGGAGAAGGAGGGAGTGAAGATCTCAGTGCTGGTCCACCTCTTGCTGCTGGGACCAAGGGGCGGGAAGGAATGCCAACGTCTTGTCTTCCCTCCCAGGGCACAAGTCTTCTGTGAGCTCCCCCGTCAGTGTGGGAAGGTCTGGAGAAGGAAACCTTTGACAAATTGAATCTCAGTGATCTTGATCATGGAGTCTTCAGATGAGATAAGTTTCCTCTGTAGGTGATCTCTTGATCTTCCACCCGGCCAGAGGGAAAACACAGTACTGCAGTATTCGAATAACATGCCCTGATGGTGTTCTGATTGAAATATTCAGGTACAGAGGCCACCACCTAATGAGAAAACTGATGCTGCTGTTTATCGTCTTGAAAGAGAAGAAGACAGTCCCTTAGGATTTCTCAGATGCAAAGACGATCGGCCGCTGCCAGCAGAAAGGTGGAAGTTCCTCTCGTGATCACCACAGTGGTGACTTATTCAGCTACTAGAAAAACTCCTGCAAGAAAAAAATGGTCAACAGACTCCATAATAAGTTTCCTGGAATGATCCTTCCGGAAGGGCAATCTGCGCAATTAGTGCTATTTCATATTAATCCTGCAAAATCAGGCAAATTCAAGGCAAGCGGAGAACACAGGAAACCGGATAAAATTTCTATGTTTTCACATAATAAAATAACTGAATGGCACCAGCCAGGGGGGCTTCAAGTGGCTTCTGCACATAAATGTCCAGACGGGCTCATTAACATTGTTCATTCGTTTCCCAGGGGAGACAGGCTGGGGGTTTACAACCTCTTATTCCCAAAAGTAGAGTCATAGAACCATAGAACGGTTTGGGTTGGGAGGGATCTTCAGGATCATCCAGTTCCAAACTCCCTGCCATGGGCAGGGACACCCCCCACTACACCAGGTTGCTCAAGGCCTCATCCAACCTGGCCTTGAACACTTCCAGGGATGGGGCAGCCACAGCTTCTCTGGGCAACCTATTCTGGTAACGCCGGGCAGGAGGTGGCCGTGCTTCCCCATCCCCATGCAGTGACAGGACTCAGGACCTCTAAAGACCTGGATAAAGTAGCCTCCATCATGTAAGAGGTGCAGAGGAGTCCCCTAAGTCACAGGTCTCAGCATTGTTGGCCATAATCTGCATTTTCTCCCAAGAATTGCACACTGCCCATGCACGTCCCGTAATACCCGGTGCCTCGCTGCTGCCTCAGGAGGGATGCCGGTCAGCTGGCAACCAAACTTGGAGTAGAGGAATGCTGGTGGAGAGCACGGCAGCTCAGCAGCGTGCCCCAGCAGCGCTCAAAACAGTGCTCAGATTCGTAGGCAAAGTGTGGGAGCAGGCGTTGTGCCGGCAGCATGGCCGAGGGCAGAGGAAGAGCCTGCGCAGCGTTTGGGAGGTTAAAGCAGCGCGTCTGCAGGGAAGGAGGCACCCGGCTGCAAACGTGAGCCCACGTGTAACGTACAGCTGTTGTCACTGACGTTGGGTACAGCTGCGAAGCATCACATCAAACACGGTGATTCCACGCGTGTCGTCTGCGTGCCGTGGCTGGAGCCGATGGCAGGACAGATCCCAGCCCTGGAGATCTGAGAGCACTGTCAGACCCTCAGCATCAAAGCGGCTGCGCTGGTGCGAACATCTGGTGCCCGTGTGGGATAACAGAC